GTGTGTGTGTGTGTGTGTGAGTGTGTGTGACTAAATGTATTTAACTCATCTACACAAAGAGTACGTTTTCGTAGCGCCATTCTTTGTTCAGTTTTCATCTCATGTCAAGTGACAATACTCCTGCTTTTAATCTGACGAGTTTCCTCTAGATTTTGCAGCTATTACTTCTTCTTCTACATATTAAGGGCCCACGATCAATTAATTGATCATTTTGGCTCCTATGCATGTAGAGGGGATTAGCAATGTTTCTGTGCCTGGTGCCGATGAGGATAAAATCAATGATTAAAAGTGCTACTTTGTGAAGGAATCATGCAATGTGGGTTGGAAGGCTTGAGGCAATAGACGCATATGTGTCTAGTGTTGTCGCCTCAACTGTTTCTTTTGAAAGCTTGTTCCAGTCCCTGATTGTCTTTGGCAAGAATGAGCAGCTCCTGTACTTGACACAGTTACTTATAAATAACCCGTTTTTATAGCCTGAGACTTCCCCAAAATATTTCCCAACGTTGCGTGAACCACTCCTCTCCCCATTTTTGTTTTAATGACGTCCCGGATCTAATATTTAGCGCTTCAACAACCCCACCCCTAATGGGAAATGGTTGTTTGCGTTCGAATGCATTCCAAATGTTCAATAGAGTGCTATCGAGTAATAAAATCCCTATATCTTTTCTGGAGGTTTCTAATTTACCTCCCGTATACCCGGGAGTTTCCCCTGGCCAGAAATACTTTTGTTATTTTTCCTTGACATTTACGAGACATATTAAAAACATTATACTCTTTACGTGTGTGTGTATATTAATAAGCGTATCTCTAGGGCATTGTACTTTTTAACTTACTGTGTTGTTAGGTGATATACTTTTATTTCTGTATATTTGACACATGTTTTCTATATTAAAAGAATTTATAGTATAAATAAATTGAATATTGTTAATGTTAATATCATTAGCTTTGATATCGTTTATCTTTGTATTCTGGTTTTCTGTTTTTTCTGACGTATTTTTCATTAAACGATCCAAATCTTAGAGTACATTATTTACAAAAATTATATAACGGTTCGTAACACTTTATAATAAAAGTATAAAGATAGACCCAGAGATCCTTAATGTCCCTCCAGCAACAGATATTGAAAACTACCCTATTCTCCGTGCAGAAGTAGAAGCAACAGCCCAAGCACTCCAAACAGGAAAGGCCGCAAGAGTGGATAATATCCCGGCCGAGTTGATGAAACAAGGAGGAGAAGCATTGATAAGTGCACTATTCCATATTTGTAACAAAATCTGGCTTACAGGAGAATGGCCCAAACCATGGACCCAATCGCTCATCGTCACCCTCCCCCCAAAAGGTAACCTACAGCTATGCAAAAACTACCGCACAATTAGCCTAATACGCCACCCAAGCAAGGTCATGCTGAAGGTCATATTGAACCGACTAAAACCATATGCCGACAGAATCATTGCTGAAGAACAGGCGGGCTTCAGACAAGGACGGGGCACTACTGAGCAGATTCTAAACCTCCGAATACTACGTGAGAAATATGCTCAACACCAACAAAATCTATACCACGTCTTTGTTGACTTCAAAAAAGCATTCGACAGGGTTTGGCATGCTGCTATATGGGCCACCATGAGGCACAACAACATCAGCATAAACTTAAACAGCATGATATGCAACCTCTATGTTAAGGCCACCAGTGCAGTCTTCTTCAACAACAACATCGGAGAAGGGTTCAGTTGGAGTACGACAAGGCTGCCTGCTATCCCCCACACTATTCAACATCTTCCTAGCGAGAAGTATGTCAGATGCTCTGGAAGCACATGAAGGAACAGTCATCATTGGTGGCAGAACAATCACCAACCTACGCTTTGCTGACGACATAGACGTGCTGACTGGGAACGAAGAAGAGCTAGCCAACCTGGTAAACCGTTCTTGATAAGACCTCGTTGTCCTACGGCATGCTAATCAGTGCCGAAAAGACAAAGTGATGACAAAAAATACCGCAGGCATCACCACTGAAATTAAGGTCGGGGAGGATCGATTAGAGACTGTCGGCCGCTTCAAATACTTAGGAGCAAAAGTCTCAGACGAAGGCTCCAAGCCCGAACTGATGTCCAGGATTGAGCAGACTACACCAGCACTAAAGAAGCTCAAGAAAATATGGAATGACAAAAATATAGCCCCAGGAACAAAATCAGGCTGATGCGCTCATTAGTCATCTCCATTTTCCTGAATGCCTGCGAATCCTGGATATTAACAGCCGATCTTGAAAGGAAAATAAAGGCGATGGAGATGAGATGCTTCAGACGCATTTTTGGCATCTGCTATAGGGACCATATCTCCAATGATACAGTGAAAGAAAGGGTTCGTCGGGCATTTGGGGAGTGAGGTGACCTACTGGTGACTGTGAAAAAACGCAACCTGCAATGGTACGGTGTTACAAAACTATGATGTGTTAATTAATTATGTTCTGCCCCAATTATTAAAAGTATTGGGTTTGAAATGTTTAATGTTTGTATTAACAAACAAAGGTCCCTTTCCTCTACGTTAGATTAGTACTGCTATTATGGTTATGTCTAGGGTACGATTAATTTCCTGATGAAGTATTCTACACTAATCCTATTTCACACTCACTCTATCATTCAATGAACTCTCACTAGCTCTCACTTGCAAGTCTAGTAATATTTTAACTATACGAATAAAACAAGAGTGGTTCAGCCCACAAATAAATATTTAATTATAAGAAAACAGAACTATCAGCATACAAATTATATATACTATACACATAAACAGGATAACAAGATACTGCCCAATATTATTGCATAGTAGGCTCTCAATGGCGATCTGGTCAAATAAGTAAGTCCCACACACACACACCACAGCAGCCCTCTGCTCGGGTCACAACGTACTGCGGGGTTGGGCGGCTTGACTGCGTAAGTGTCTCCGGTCACTGGCACTGCGAGGAGGTAGGTGCCGACTTTGAACTTTACTGTGGGTAACACACACACAGTATATGCTACCGTCTTGTTGATTCCTTTGGCTTATCTCCTGCTAATAACTGCGACTCCTTTACTGAACTGTACTAGCTTTAGTTCCAGATATTATTTATTGAACACCTCTGACCAGTTATTTACTTTACAAATACTTTCTGGTCAAATATTCTTTACTGGCCAAATGTTACATACTGTAACTTATTTCATGTAATTTCTTCACTTTACTTTACTTCAGTTTACTTCACTTTACGTAACTTCAGTTTACTTCACTTTACGTAACTATACTTTACTTAACTTTACTTAACTTTACTTAACTTTACTTAACTTTACTTAACTGGCTAGAAATGAGAATAATAAATACAATGCATAAGACATAGCTAAGAATTACAAATCACATCACATTATAAATTATTAATAGTTATCATATTCAAACATTAACAATAGTAACTATGGTCCTACCATTTTCTTAATAACATTACATCTACGACTCTACATACCAGTACATATGAATATGAAATAGAACAATACTAACCCGACACAATCGGATAAACACACTTTATCAGCTAATTATGCCAGCCAGGCTCTTCTGACATAATTCAGGTAAGAGAGGCCGATACATGATTTGGGCTTTCAATATATACTCTAAGTTTGGCGTGCTTGTCCCGCATTTAAGCGTGGCATCCCAGAGTCGTGTTTAAATGACTCACAAGCGTGGCTTCGGATTCCGAGTTAGTTTTTTTAGCGTTGGTCATCAGAGTGACAACTCAGAGTTGGGACGCTTGACAAGAATGAGTGTATTGCTTAAACTGGGTCATGGCCAAAGTGAATAAGTTAATTTCCATTGTTATTTGAGTCTACTTGTATTATTTTAAGGCCCAGCCTAATTGTGTCATATCGCGTGGGGTAGCGATGAACGCGTGGGGAAGCGATGGAGAGAGTGGAGCCAGCGGGTCTCACAAAGGTGAGGACCAGCGGGTCTCAACATACGGCCACGAAACAAGGAAACAAGGGCTTGCTAAAGAAATATTGCAGGGCACCACAAGAAGAGGGAGAAGAAGAGGAAGACAAAGAAAAAGATGGGAGGGTAACATCAAAGAGTGGACAGGACTAACACTGGGCGATGCAGTGCGTAGTGCTGAAGACAGAGAGGAATGGAGGAGGATGGTTCACATGTCATCTGTGGCGCCCCAACGGTCCAATGACTAAGGGACGTGAGGAGGAGGATAGATAAGTATAAATATATTAGTTATTATTTATATAAGTGGCAGGGTGCCACTTAAAACGCTTATGATATTTAAAACACCGTCGCTTATTCTCTAGGACACTCCATGCTTACACGCGAATGTGTTTTGCGATCAGTCGTGTTGATCGACGACCTTAGGTGCCCTAGCATTGAAATACAGCACGTGACCCACTTCTTTCTCTCTTCACGGCAGGTTTGCCGCTTCAATACAGCCTAAATATTAAGGTTCTTAAGGCACTAAGTACGTCCTCTCCAATATGTCTGCGAAGGCCTTTTAAACGTTTACCAAAAATTTGATCGTAGGAAATTTCTTCGACGGTAAATTGATCGACGGACATTTGATCGAACGGAAATTTGGTCGAATCTTTTTTTCAGTTCACGCGTTAAAATTTTCGTCAAATTTCTTTTTGAACTTCCTATACTATATGGTAAAACACAATAATGAGATCAAAAAGAAATTTGGAGCAAAATTTTAATGTAAAAACTGAAAAAAAGTTTTATTAATAGCTTTCACCCCTGTTTCTACTTTCTTACAGGCCCCACATACGTTTTTCATAAAGTATTACGACCCGCCTTACATTTTGAGTTGTGCATGCCTGCTATATGCAGACAAAATGCTCCTCGTTGCATAATACATTAATCATGGACCCCAAAGTCACAAAGGAACTCATTAGCCACTGGCATACTTAATTTTTATGACTTATTTTTTCCTTCAAGGTTCTACGGCAGCTACGAGGCGTTGAATGGTGGTCGCATAATTACCGCACTGGTTGACCTGACCGGTGGGCACCCAGAAGTGATTGATTTACGAGGAAAAACCAGAGGTACACCTCAGCTGTTTGGTCAGTTGGATTTATATAATCGACAGAAAGCTGTCATGGGAGCTGGCATTTACGTGAGTTATCTTATTCAAATTTTTAAATTAAAAATACGATTTTATATTTTAAAAGTGAGAGTTGTGGTGTTGGGTCCGGGGTGGGGGTTCATGATATTCAGAAGTGTAGGTATGAATTCTTGCTCATATCGGTCTTTAGTTTTGCACGAAATGTACGTTTGTCTTGACTTGGTTGTGTTCATACAAATCTTTTATTTTTAGAAGTTACTAAATTTCAAGGTTTTTTAAAATAATTTTTTTTGAAACTTTTTACTTATTTTGTAAGAATTAGCATTTCAATTTTTTAAAATTAACAAATCTTTAATCCTCATGTCAACAGATGACAAAGAAGATTAACTGTGTCAAATTATATTATTAATATTAAAATTTATGCGCCTCGCCTTTTAATCCATACCTTTACTTATGTTGCTTCGGACAAAAATTCCGCCCTGACATATATATATATATATATATATATATATAAAGTACCACCCAATTTCATACGCTAGTGGATATAAGCCATTACAACTATATGTATTTATTTGATTTTGGGGTTCAATGATTTTGGCGCACGAGGGTGCCATCCTTTCGCACGGCGCTGTAAATGATGATCGAACACGTCACGCATGTATTAAAATAACTAATGTCGGTATTATTTAACAATCGCCTGTCTTGTTAGCTATCACCCACTGCTTTGTTATGTCCATTCACAAGAGTATAAATCACACTCTAATTACTTTTTTTGCTTTCGAATAAATCACACATAAGACCTTGGGATATTTATCCGATATTATCATCATTCAGACGCTGTGGTCAATTGGGATTGTGCTCTTCGGCCCCCAGCCATGTCGAAGAATTTACCCTCTCTCTGCAGCTGTTCTTTGTTTGTAAAAATGGTGCTGGTGTGGTCTTGTGGTTGTGGTAGGGGGTTTAGACCTAAGTCCTGAGGTGCATGGAAATGGAAGAGAAAATGTGTTACTGTCTCTTTCGGACGTTTGCGAACATAAAGTGGACATAAAGCAGATATAAAGTGGACATAAAGCAGACAGTAAACAGAGTGACGTAACAAGAACGCGTCAACATCCAGTTTTTTGTTGTTGTTTGTTTGATCTAATTAGTAATACAGGAATTGAAGTTAAACAATTTTATTAAATTTTTATTGCTGAAAAACTGGAGGCAATAGTCAGTAATAAGTGTACTTATACAGGAAGAACAACCCAGGACAAGTCAGCTCCTAGATGGTCTCGAAAGTGGACATGCTTACAGCATAACTGGTTTCTATCAGGTCTGTAGGGCTGTACTTTCTGCATTAGAGATAGTTAAATCTTACCAATTAAATACTTCCACTAATTGTTGTTAATGGTTCACACAACCAAAGATCCTTCGATTTGATTTGGGGTATCTGATAAACACTTCCTCGCCTTCAGGTCGCATTAAGGGGGAGCAACTTCAACTTGATCCGTCTGAGAAATCCCTGGGGACGTGGCGAGTGGAAAGGGGCCTGGTCAGACGAGTAAGTCGAGGATAACTATAATAACTATAATAGATTAACATGAAAATTGTGTGTGTACCATTAGCTTTACTTCTCAAATGCTACGCACTTGCCTGAACCTTATGTATAAAAAATCATGCCCCAACAGTTTTAAAATTTTAAAGAAAACTCATTGCTGGAAGCTATATTTAGAATATCGTAATGCGCAAAATATAACTCAATATAAGAACAATGTAATACAAGAGTAAGCTGACTATTATTATTTAAGGTACAATTATTTGGACAAGCGAACTAAGTTAGAGCTGATGATTGTACATATTTAAACTATGAGCACATACATACACATAAAGGTAGCCGTGTTTCAACAGATCAAAGGAGATGAATGCCCTGCCTATGGGTGATAAAGAAAGTCTGCTTTTTCAAATTCAAGATGATGGTGAATTCTGGTAAATTGTGTTTTGCTAACATATTTCATTATATTATATTCATACCAAACACATTTCATAAAAAGGGCATATTATTATGGAAGTGGAGAAGCTACGATGCCTGGGAGAGGTTTTTATTCGGTGAATTAGCTATCTTCTTAATCAGCCGATTACTCCTCCTCCCCCATATGGACGATACAGCTGGGTACCATGGGCGCATCGTGAGTTTTCGGTGGTGTCAATGAGTACAACGTCAAACCGCCTACTTGACTCAAAGTCTGTCTGGGTTTACTTCCTCAGCTTTTAAATAGTTTGTTTGTAGCCGAAAGCTAGAGTGGGTTCATGGGCGGAGCTTTTTCCTTAGAAGGACCATGATCCAAAATAAGGCAGCTGTCCAAAAATTATTTACTACACTTACTTTTCTAATGCAAAATATTGAAAGTATTTTTATTCTCTTAACAGATCACCTTCTATGTATTTATCATATAAATAAATTGAAATCCTGGATTTACTTTGTTTTGTAGGATGGACTTCGATGATTTCATTACCATGTTCGATGAGATCAGTATCTGCAAGCTTTGAATACAACGTACAACGGGTACATTAAAGGAATCTGTCTTGTAATTAATTTGTTAAAATATTAAATCATTAATTGTTTTACTTAAAATTTAAAAAAAAAACAACAGCAAGATCACATTTAATCTCAATTAGTTTGTAACTATATGAAAAGTTCATCAAGCAATCTTAGCGCCGTCAATTTACTGGCTGAGTATCAAATGCTAAAATGTTAAGAAACTTCTCTGAGGTGTCAATATCTTTAAATAAACGTATTTGGTAAATACAGTGAATGGCAGGCAAGTCAAACGTTAACATTTAACTTCCTGTATAATTCCCCTGCAACCACACACGCACACAGAAGTCTGTAGAGATTGTAAAGTATTCCATTTTGAAAGTTTTACATTTTTCTGTTCACATGATCAGCCATCTTGATATAGATATGTTTATATTATCATCAAAGCCAGCGTCTGAATAACATAGGTGATACATTTTAGACTATTTCAGGTGAACAAAAAAACAATTTATGGAAACAAAAACCATCGATGTGCTTTTAATGACTTGTTTTATGCGTTTGACAAAGAAATGAGAAGATGTTCTCACCATTTTAACACGTTACACCTGTCTCTATACTTGTCTATATATAGTCATGTATCTATGTTGCACTCTTGGCGTTATTTCTACACTTTACATTTTAAACTCTAATCTAACATATTACATTTTAACCTATAATCAAGGCATTACATTCAATACGTTATATTAATTTCTAGACTTTGAATTTAGGACATTACTTTCTAAACTGACCAAGAACACGTCCCACTCTAATTCTTCAGTTCACACGTTACACTACAATTCTCCACAATTTAAATCAAATTTGACACACAGACACACACACAGACACACACACAGACACACACACAGACACACACAGAGAGACACACAAACAAACCCACACCAATAAAAAAATGTTTTTAAAATCAAATGTTCATATCTTGACATCAATAATTAAAGATCTGAAATTTTTGTCTCATTGCAGGTTATTTGATTAAAAGATTTTTAAGAATACAAAGAAAAGATAGCATTGAAATGTCTGAATTTGTTTGTCAAATCTTATTACGTTGTGACTAATACTTCAACTATTCACTCATATCTTTATATTTATACATTATTATGTTTTCATATTTTTTTTACGTTACCCATTTAGTAACACAAAATTTTTACTTATTTTTTTTTAGATAATTGCAAAGATTTGAATAAAACATTTTATAAATGTCTCTTTCCTGTTAAATTTGTTGACTCACTTGTTTTTCTCACCTTTTGAAACGTGCTCTTTGAATATTAGTAGTGATTTGTAAAATTGTTTAATTCGTTTAAACGCAAATCTTTTAAAACAAACTTAACTGCTGACACTGTAAAGCTGAAGCTTCTGTATCTGTTCGGATGGGTCGTTGCCATCGTAACTACTCAATGTCTTACTATGCATAAACACTTTTCCAAAGGAGTGACCCATCCTTGGAAATCTGAAAAAGACCCATGATATTTTTTATTACACACTTTTTTTGCTGGACACATTATTGCATTTGTACCTGCGTGCAATCTGATGTGCTAGTTACGTCAATTCCGTAACAGCTGCGCTCTGCATCTGAAATATACCATTGCAACTTGAAAATAACTTGAAAAAAAATCAAGGATTTATAGAATCATCTAAGTAACTATAACAATAGAATGCAGCAGCATTTCTGAAGTGACTGTGTCCATGTCCTCACTTCTTTTCAAGATAAAATCTGAGAGGATAATAAGGTTAAAAAAAAATAACACAAAAAGATAAAAAACATTATTTTGTGAACAATCTCCATTTAAAAATTAATGTGAAGCATGCGTGGAAACTTCAAAAACAACACGAAAAGCAACGAACGTGTCAGAAAAAAAAAAAGCCTACTTCATTGCAAGTAAAAAAAAATTAAAGAGACAATGAAAGAAAGTCAACTTACCTCATAAATAAAAAAAATTGTTTGTACACCCCTACTACGAGCTGTCGTTGTTTAATAAGTTTTTCGAAAGAAATCTTAGAAAATGTTAAGAATAGCAGGCTGACCATGTGTGCAATCAGGGGAAAGATGTGCGGGAAATCTTATTACGTATAAGATTATTATAAGCCTATACTTATATGGTGTCATTGTTACTAAGATTACGGTATGTATCAATATACTCTCTAAGCAAACCCTGTAAGCTGGGGACTGTTGCGGGCATACTGTAGCCGTCATGAACACATGTCAGAAGAGATTTGTGGTCGCTTGTGTTGTGCTGCCTCACTGTGTCAACGGTGCTCACTATATCTGATAGCTTTTCAACTGTTTGAACATAGTAGACTTTTGGAACTTACATGCTTTTGTGAAACGCATACTTAGGAGAGATCTCAATAATATTTTACCAGACACTAACGAAAGATGTCGAACACGTCTCCTGTTTATTTCTAATAGAATAAATTATGACTACTTTAAAGTCACGGTTATAAAGATACTAAATGTATTTAAACTATTTACGGTGGGAAGGGAGTAGACTGCTCGGTCAACGTCTCACAGAGGGAAAAAAAAGTAAGAGAGATCATATATCTCTCGATCCATCCCTCTTTCCCTCCTTGTCTCTCTGCAATCTTTTTCACAAACGTTTAATCTCTCCCTCCCTCCCGTTCTCTCTCTCTCTCTCTCTCTCTCTGCCACGTTATCCACATCCTCTCTCTCTCTCCATCCCTCCCTCTCTTCTTCTCAATACCTCTGTCACGTTTCTGACTATTTCTTTCCTCTCTCTGTCTTTATCTTCCCACGTCATTTTGTCTCTCTCCTCTCCCTCTCTTTTTTTACTCGCTTTTCTTCTCCTCTCCCTAAAACCGTTTTTTAAAAAATTACTTTGCCTTTCCTCTCTCTTCATATTTTTCTTTGTCTTTCCATGCATCCTCTCTTCCTAGATCTTTTATGCTCTTTCTCCCTCTGTTTGTCTCTCTCCCTTTACAATATAATTAGCGGAAATGACCAAGCTCTGAGAAATACCATGACGTGGCCAGTCATTTTGAAACATTGATTTCTGCCTTCAAAAACGGGAAATGCCGTTCCTTGCTGTGAGGGGGAAAATAGCGGAATTGGGGAATCGGACATTTCCACTCTACGCATGTAATTCTACAAAACCGTTAGTTTTATTTTGGGGTAATTAGCCATTTGTCCCCTTAACGGCCGAGCTCGCAAGTCAGTTTCAGTGTGGAAATCAAGCTGTGAAGTCTTAGATAAAATCATAAATCTAATAAACGATTAAGTGCGTATCAAAAGGAACGATCACTTAAGATTTATAGATTTTTTTTAAAAATCGTAAAGCTCAAATTACGTGTGTTATATCAGTATTGAATAAGAGAGAGCCTTTTAAGCCACTGCACATTAAGTTTGTCGTGAACCAGTTTAGGATGCAGAGCTATTATATTGACGAGACGTTCCCAAGAAGCCCGCGATCCTGGGTGGGAAGGGATGCGTTCGTATGTGACCGCATCGTATGGAAACGTCCTTCGGTGAGTAAAACAAAAATACATGTTATGTATGTGTCACCCATAGTGTCATTAATATATATATTAACGTGAACGTCTGAAAGAAATTTAAAACGTCAAGTTGGCAGGATTTTGCGACAGATGACCTGTAGCGAAAAATTATATTGTCAACTAAACGTATAAACTAGTAACTACACTATGAAAAATAACCTTAAAATATTTTAAGATTGTGATAGTAGACTTTGATAGTAATTTATGACAGTATTATACACGATTTAAAGATAATACTACATGTGACATTTGACTGTCACATTTTTTTACAAAAAATGTAATAAAGAAAAAAAATTATGTGTTAAGGATGTGAAATATAATGCGGTAAATATTATGCACTGTTAGAAAAGTGGGGAGGGGCGGTTTGCCCCTGGAGGCACTTATATATATATATATATATATATATATATATATATATATATATATTATATAATAGGAGGGTGACAAAAAAAATGTCCCACCCTGGGCGGCAATAACCAATATATTTAAGCATTCCTCCTTGGTTCTATGAATACAGGCCATGGTTAGGCAACCAGAGTTTGTGGTAGATGGCGCCAAGAGGCATGACCTGGACCAAGGGGCTTTGGGTAAGTCACTGAATTAATGTAGTGGGAATAGCTGCTGATAGAATGTTTTAGCACAGTTACACACAAAACTACGCCTTCCCATATTAGCATTATAACAATACGATGATATTTTTCACAGTCAAGCACCCCGACTGGAACAGTCAAGAAAACATGAAAAAACAGTGCGTGTTGGGAGGGATGAGGAGTGGACCGATTGCTATTTTTAGAAATTATTAAACAATTTAAAAAAAAATAGATTTTCGACTTACTTAAAAATGTTATTACTAATGACACTGTCTTTCGGAACCTTAAAAATTAAGCAAACAAAAAAAAAATTAAATAATAACCAGTGATCGTATTATTGAGTATTCCATTGTTTACTTGTTATCTCCCCTGACCAGTGGCTTAGCTAGGGCTAGTGTCAACCGATGCGGTAAACTCGTGGTATCACCCTTCCATTCCCATCCCCCCCCCCCTTTTAACTTCTACGATGAATTTCTTTGTGCCAAATAAGTCCACAGTATAACAATAACAAAACAAAAAATAATTAAAGTTCGGGTCAATTAAATGTTATTAAGACATGTAACAACGTTAAGTTATAGTTATTTTACGTTAAATTTACTTTTTTTTTTTTAAAAATGCTCCTTTCATGTTCTTCAAAGCTGCAAACCTGTCAATTACTTGATCAAAACCAATATCTTTCACCGTAACTATTTTAATTGATAGTAGAGCCTGATCAGAAAGCCTTGAGTGTCCCATGGTGCATCGCAAATAGTTCTTGATAGGTCTTAGTTTTGAAAAGCTCCGTTCATCATTTGAAGGCTTAGCAAGAGTATTGGAAAATATTCTAGGAATTCACCCACAGCTATCAATTTCAAAAATCATACATTGACCAGTCCAAAACGTTGTCTCCAATTCAGGTATAAATTTCAAAATATCAAATAGTGACCAGTCCAAAACTTTGAGAAATTCAATTTCAGCTGCCTTTAAAAGTCTACTAGGCCTTGGTAGTTCTTTTACATGTTTATCTTCTGATAATTCATCATAGAAATTTGCGAACGGACTCCAATAACTCTTTTTTACTCTGGTTGAACAACCTAAAACATATTTGCTACATTCTTGATCGCTGATGATCTGAGCTAGGGCTCAGAATGAGATCGATAAATACCCTCCAGCATCTCACTAGTGTTTTTTTTTCTCACAGAGAGAACCCATCTCTTATTAATTGTTATCCTACCATTCTCATCTTAAACCTTAATCTTCCCTCAACCCAAATTCCATATTGGTCTGAATTCAAAAGTGCCTTTCCAATAGCCTTATGACGTATATCGAGAAATTAATCTCTAATATGTGGCTCGTTCTAAAACGGTACACAACAAAAGACGATACCATATGTTAAATACAATAACAAAGAATGCGATACTCAAACCAGGGCTACTCACAATTAATACGTTTTATTAAGGTAAAAATAAATTACAAAATAAAAAAGAAATATAATTAATGATTGGCTTGTACCGGTACAGTGTCGAAGAAGATACAATGTTGTGAAAATGTATAATGATGAAAAGGAATCTACACACCCACAGTAAACAAAACTCTCTAGCAAAAATAGCACACGTTCAAAATAACTCTCGTCAGTCGTCTCGTCTGTCGTTCAATCCCTCGGATTTCTATAGCATGCTTCTTTAGAAAAATTTAAAAGGCTACGCATTGTACTCGCTTCCGCTGCTTCTACAATATTCTACAAAATTCGAATCATGAAACGGACCATAGATTTTATTTAATTGTAGCTAAGGTCAAAGGGAGACTGTAACTAGTAAGTCACGCCCTACTAATAGCGCACCCGAACTTGGGGTCAGCTCAAGTTCATTCACCAGAAAAGATGAATGAAAGTAAACGGGGTGCCATAACAAGCCTGTTCCACCAAGTGACACAGAAACCGCTATGTTTGATTAAACTTCCTAAAGTAGATAAACGTGAAATCACAGACATCACGTAAAAGACCTTGTGCTGTATGCCAATCGTTGTCAAATTTTAAGGGACAGTGCTAGTGACGAATCGGCCAAAATATTTGGTTTAAAAATCATTATTTCATTAAAATGTAAATAAATCTATATTAATTTTTTTTAAGTTATTTGAAAATTTTGTAAATATACATTGTTAGCCCTATAAATGGAAAAAAGAATAATTTTTAAATTGATTTTACTCTTAACCGATTCAATTCATGTGCTTAGAATCGCCAGACGAAATCGTATTTGGTATCAATGGAAAGTTTCATTTCCCAGAATTTATATATTTATACATATTTCTTCTTCCGGTTAGCAACAAGATGGCTGACACGCTAATTTAAAAAACCGAAAATTGTTTTTAAAAAACGGGCAAGTGATGAATATATGCTGATATAAATATACAAATTCAATGCGGGAAGCTAGGGTAAGAATGCGGGGGTTAAACCCAAACTGTAAAACCCGGAGATAGAGTCCCGAAGTTGATCCGACGCCGATAACAATGTCATTTCGGCAACTCCTGCGATGCACTCAGTGCCAAGTTGTATTGACAATAGTCATTCCATTGGATCCACTGGTTGCGTGGAGAGTGGGGATCTGCTGCATTGGGCAACAGCTGGTCACCATAAATCACCGCCCAGGCTAAGTAGCTCTGAGAAATGCAGTCGAAATTGTCATTCTAGGATTGGCCTCGTGAGCCACTCGTCGAAATATAGGACTACATAGCTACTCCATCGTCTCGCGAAGACGGAAGGATGCCATAATATATATATATATATATATATATATATATATAGCCTGTCACTTACGAAAGTTACCGAACACTTCAAGCAGCATTGTATCATGGTCAAAACGGTGTTTCTCTGACTTAATTATAGGGTCACCTCATTTCTGACTCATCAACCTTGAACCTTTAATAAGGCAAGCATTTGGATTGTTTAGAAAATTGACGCGTGATCGTTTATCCTTTTCTTAAATTCGGTTTGACCGAGCAGTGGGTGCGCTGTAGGTATGCAATTTTTCAAATTTGACGTCCCCGCTGGGCTGGGGTCACCCGCTGCTTTCCCCGCACCCCTCTAGCTACGCCACTGCCCCTGACATAACTATAGTACACCATATCATTAGGATTAGCCAAAACTCAAGGGGATTTCAATATTTGTTCAGTAATATTTTAGTTTTACGGTTATATTTTTTAAAGGATTTGAAATAAATAATTGGATAGTTAACTATATTTTCTGTCAGCCGCATGTATGTAACAAAACAAAACAAAACAGAACACCAAAAAACACTTCAATGATGGAGACTCCAAAAAGTTCATAAATATCGCCGTAAATGGCAAATGATTACTAGACCTCTCATTTGTTTTATTCTTGTGCAATAATCTACCCTCTTGACATCCTTAAAGGAAACTGCTGGTTTATATCGGCCGCTGCTGCCCTTGCTACTCATCACCCTGACCGATTTAAGAAAGTTGTCCCCCTTGGCCAGACTTTCAATTCTCCACAATACACAGGTGACTATAATGTCATTATATATGTATATATCGTTGCAAAACTCTCTGAGTGACTCTAGGAAACGATGATGGGATCTTTATTATTGAAATAAATAATTAGTTCGCATAATTATATATCCTACATCCACCAATTTAATGTATGCACTCTATGGGAAAAAATACTTTTCATAAATATTTATATAATAAACTTAATTCAATCCAAGACATTGTGCCCTACAATGAAATAGTTGCATAACGGTCCAGACATTTATAAGAAAGGACAACTGCAGCTCATGCAATATGTTCTATGTGTCCGATGGCATTTCTGCATTTTCAATTCCTACTCCAACTAGGGCTGTAAAGTTACTTTCATACGTTACACCCTATAGGGTTCACCCTGGTTAATAGGTAAATAAATATGCTGGTTTTAAATGAGTAAAAGTAATTGCACCTATTTGAACTTCAATGAAAACCTTTGAACTAACACCTAAGAATAATTATCAGGCTCCTTAAACGACAACTTTACGTATATCCGCCATTTTGTCACTTTGGTTTGTCACCATTTGATATTAAAGCCATGTAGACTGTTACTTCAACATTTAATATGTATTAATCTCTCGTTGTCTGAATAGATTTAGTATTCAAATTTTTATACACGCTTTTTCTCTTCCTGAAGTGTGTATAACCGTTTTTTTTTCTCCGGCTCGGTGTATAAATTATCTTTATACTTCATAAAAACAGTATTATAAAATAAATGGTTTTGTTCATTGCATTTTACGATACTTTTATTTTATACCTGATTATGTGTATGAAATTTCGAAACTATAAATTTTGTGATTTTTAACATGGGATTGATTTGTTAAAGTGATGTAACCATTGCAAAGGTAAATGAGCAAACTAAACAATAATCGGTTACTGATTTATTACCTCAGGAATGTTCGTGTTCAACTTCTGCAGTAAGGGGATTTGGAAACAAGTGTACATTGATGATTTCATACCTACAGACGCGTCTGAGATGGAACCAAAGTATTGCAGGAATACTGAGAGATCAAATGAGTTCTGGCCCTGTCTATTGGAGAAAGCTTACGCAAAGTACGGTTACAATTAAAAGAAAATGCTAATATGTCATGAAACAAAGGTTATATGTTTTTTATATAAATTAACAGTGTGATCATTAAAATATAGCTTGGCTTATATGGTGCACGAAACAGGTGGGCAAATTTCGGATTCGGTGTGGAGTTTGTAAGACTTTAAAAAAATTTGTAGTCAATTTAAATCCGCCCTATGTAAAAACCCATATGTTCCCATTTCGTCATATATAAAGCACCCATCTGAAATTTTTTTTCTCATACATAAAGAACCATCTGGTGCCATTTTTCTATATAAAATCATCCGCCTTGTCCCAAAAGATAAGAAAATTATATTTAATATTACTTTTGTTCTGTGAAACTCTGTCTGCGACTCTATGAACTAGTTAAGGATCCAAAAATTAATTGAACATATAGGAACATTGATTTCTAGTCTGGAAAGAGTAAACTCTAAATTAAAGATAAAACTATATAATGTATTCCGCATCAGTAATCTAGTTTTTTTTTTTTTATGTCCAAGCAGGGCCGGCGTTAGGAGGGTGTGGGGCCTTGGGCAAATTGAATTCTGCGAGGCCGTTGACGTTATATATTCCGCCGATAGGATATTAAGACACGTTATAATAGTCGTACTGGGGCCTTGCTGGTCATAATGGGACGCGTCATAACGGTTAAAAAAGGTAAACGAGTCTATATACAGTATAAAATTCCCTGATAATCCCCATTCGTCTGCTTAACATGCCCATAGGTCTTCCCAAGATTCATCTCGAAGGTATAGTATGGGAGCCAGACTGACCTTAATACCATTTGATTAACTAATAACTCCGAATATTGTGTTGACTGGATTAGGAACCATCAGTAGGCTTAGGTATATTATAAATTTACTACGGCAACGCGTGGGGGTCCGCAAACGCAGGGCCTTGGGCGGTCGCCCACTTCACCATCCCCTAGCGCCGGCCCTGGTACAAAACTAGAGAGCTGAAAATGGCAGTATTGCAAAGATTGGCGATAAAATTACGCCAACTCAGATCAAGATAATGAGACCTGTCGTAACTATTTACATTTTTTGTGTGTTCTTTGAGAGAAAAAAAATATCTTGTCATTGAACTATTCATATTTACAGACATAAGTCACTGATCATGGGTTCTCAAACTTAAGGAGTGGCGTGCCATTCAAAACAAACTGGCCACAACGAAATTACCACTACATACTTCGCCATTCGGGCACGATTTTAAAAAAAATAATTCTTTGTTCAATCTCTGTGCACCTTTTGCAACTGTACCTCAGTTTGATAATCACTTTTAAAGTAAATACCAAAAGCATTTCTTTTAAATAACAGCTGGCTAAAATTTATTTTTATTCATCAAAGGCTCCACGGAAGTTATGAGGCCCTGAATGGTGGTCATATCGTTGATGCACTGGTTGAACTGACTGGGGGACTTCCGGAAAAAATTAATCTGCGAGGACACACCAGGGGATCACCCCAGCTGTTTGAGAAACTGAGTTCATGCTATCAAATGAGAGCAGTCATGGGGGCGGCCATTTATGTGAGTTAGTTGTTTTCAACAAAATTAAATGCATGTGTTTTTAATTAATCAAAAAAAAAAAAAAAAACATTCACGTAAAGTGAAGAAGACTAAATATTCTTACAGAAACAAATTAAAACGAAAACAAAAGTGTCCAGTGGACATAAAACTGAGACACAAAACAGATAAAAAATAATGAGAGCAGTCATGGGGGCGGCCATTTATGTGAGTTAGTTGTTTTCAACAAAATTAAATGCATGTGTTTTTAATTAATCAAAAAAAAAAAAAAAACCTTCACGTAAAGTGAAGAAGACTTAATTTTCTTTCTGCGTCAAATTAAATCGAATACAAGTGTGTCCAGTGGACATAAAACTGAGAGCCAAAACAGTTAAGAAAGTCCGTACGAAGCCACCCATGAATGCAATGTGGAAAAGGAAGTTTAAAAAGAAAGGAAAAAAAACAAACAACTAAGCTAGTAAACGAAAATTGTATTGAATTTCTTTGTTACAGTCTGGTGATCAAAACAGAAATAGGTTACTTAACGGCCTGATTAGTGGACACGCATACAGCATAACTGGACTTCATTCGGTATGTATGGCTGTTATTGCTGATATGGAATTTGAACAATATATTTCTTATACTTCTTCTTATTCATCACCTTTTAAAAAATCAAATGACAAAGGCGTCTCTGGAGAATTCTAATTAATTGTTAACGGTCTTCAGATGCAGGCGGGTGGTCGAGACGTTAGCTTGGTACGCCTGAGGAATCCCTGGGGTCGTGGTGAGTGGAAAGGAGCTTGGTCAGACAGGTGAGTCCTATGGTGCTTAATTAACTCAGAAATCATTTTCCCTTAACAAGAAAGCGTCAGCTCAGGACCAGAAGATGTTGTTTTATTTCACACACCACATGCAGTAATTTAACTAATTTTATTACAAAAATGTGGGCCTTTCTGAGGAAATTTTTGTTTACAATGCACAAATGCACTTAAACATTTTAGCTTCAAAACGACTTATTCTATGTTGTTACCAAACTAGTAGTGTTACCCATATAAAATGAACATATTAATTTTTTTTTCTACCTACCTACACATATTTATATCTGTAGACAAACCTCTCCATTTATAATCTCTAAAATCATTTCTAAATATTCACCTGTTGATTCATTCATTCCTGAAGGGATCCATATATTCATCTTTCCATCAAGCTACTAACTCATCCATCCCCTTTTATATCCATTCATCCAAAAATACATTCATCATATCATCCATTTTGCACCCCACAGATCGAAGGAGATGAACGCTCTGCCAAAAGTTGTGCAACAAACTCTACGTTTCCACATTAAAGATGACGGGGAGTTTTGGTAACTATTGTCCCCATTAATACTGTCCATTACATACAAGTATAGCTCCAATAAATATACATTATTCTAATTAATATCTCTTACATATTTAGGGTTACACCGATTAATTGAGAGAAAGTCTGTAATTGGTCATTTTGCTGATTAGTCGGTGAAAGGATTTTTATGACCGATGTATCGTGCTACTGACAATACTCTCTGGATAAGAGACGCAACTGTATATATATATTATTTCAATATCAATAAAGTATTGTATTTTTCATGGGATTTTAACAAATGTGCACCGAATTAGGTTTGCCCAAGGGCATAAACATGACGTCTTATAATCCAGCCAATTCTTGTCTATTTTGTGTGTGTCTCTGTCACGTCGTTACAGTTCACAAAATGACCTCGACAGTTCACACAATGAACCTGGCAGTTCAGTTCACAAAATGACCCTGACAGTTCACACGATGACCCTGACAGTTCAGTTCACACAATGACCCTGACAGTTCACACAATGACCCTGACAGTTCAGTTCACAAAATGACCCCGACAGTTCANCAGTTCAGTTCACAAAATGACCCTGACAGTTCACACGATGACCCTGACAGTTCAGTTCACACAATGACCCTGACAGTTCACACAATGACCCTGACAGTTCAGTTCACAAAATGACCCCGACAGTTCACACAATGACCCTGACAGTTTAGTTCACAAAATGACCCCGACAGTTCACACAATGACCCTGACAGTTCAGTTCACACAATGACCCTGACAGTTCACACAATAAAACTGACACCAAAATGACGTTACGAGGCTATCAAAACTAGAAAGACAACAAAAAAAAAAGCTTCGAATGTCGTCAACAACACTTCCAGTGTTTTTTCTTTAGTTATACCATCTTTTCCCAGGCAATAAAAATGTACAAGCGTGTTGCACCAATCGAAGGCTCCAGATTATTTAATAGGCTATATTTATTATTTTTTTTTTAAATTTTGGGTTGGGGAAGTCGAAAGTATGCATTTAATTTCAAGAGATGTGTGTATTGTGGCCTTCTCTCCGTTGGGACATGACATTAGACACACACACGTACCGCATCTCAGGGAGAGCTACCATAATGCATAGCACTATTTTCGATTGGCGTCTTTTTTATTATTGTTATATTATTATATTTTTTTTTTTTGAACAAAGTAAAGAATGTTATTCTTCTAAAGGCGCATGATTTGTTTTTTAACTTAAATAATTAATTTCATAAATAATAATATTATGTCTATGACGGCCAGTTTCCGCGGCCTCTGCTTCGTCACATAAATATATTGCATGCAACTTGGACTGCTTCACACGTGATGTAAGACGGTGCGGAGCTTTCATCGCACATGTTGACGGTTTGAAGATGATGGTGCGGAATGGGCATTTAGTTCCCGTGGAGAGGGGAGGGAGGGGGGTCGATACATTAACATTTGTTAGACATTTGTTTTTTAGTTGCTCAGGTGTTGCAAAGAATGTTTGAAAACACAGGTGTAACCGATACCTGTTTCAATACTAAGGCCACGTCACTGGTTCATTCAAAGTAACTTTGCGGATGAGGGTCAGCCTGCTATACGGGCAGTCAAAGGCAAATTTCCCAATCGAGGCACAAATCTCAAATGTTTTAGTGATTGAGCAGAGCTCAGTTTTATTTCTTGGCATGGTTGTAATCATAATAATAATTTAACCTGACTCAAAGCAAACCAAATATAAACTCTTTCATTATGATTAATTATATAATATTAGGAATAACCTGAAATGTATAATTACATTAATCATATCAATGTCAGAGCTAATTAAACCAAAATTAATCGGTGACAGATTAATTTACATCGGCCGATTATCTCTGACCGATTAGTGTGTAATTAGTCTTTTTGATAATCGGTTCAACCGAAATATATACTGTTAATTATACAGATTGAATATCATGTCTGTTTACAGGATGGAGTTTAATGATTTTATCACCATGTTTGATGAGATTCACATCTGTCATCTTTAGATGGATACATCAAACATCTGACAGAGGGACCAACAGTATAAGAATTTTTGAATCAAAATTTTTAATAAAAATTTTCTTTGTGATTTTGATTTAATTAAAAAAAAAAAAAAATGTAATTCGTTTTGTTTTGTTGTTGTTTGTTGTTTTTTTGTTTTTCTCTAAATTTCTTTAATACCGTAAATATGATGAACATTTTAATTTATTTTTTTATTCCAAAGTCTAAATGTTTTTTTAAAACTTTATTTTAAAATTCATTAAATTAATGAAAATAATCTTCAGTTTTAACACGTTAACTTATAATATCGCGACAAATTATACTATCATACTAAATTATACTATTATACTAAATCATACTATCATACTTCATTATTATATCATACAAAATTATACTATCACGTTAAATTATACTATCATGCCAAATCAAAATTGAAAGATTAAGAAGAAGAGCTATTGTTAAATTTTACTTTATACTTTTTTATATTGTAATATTTGTGTTTTTATACTCATCGACCAAAAATGAAAATCTACCAACGCCTTATCTATAAAGCATACATTATGTGTCTATCCATACAATATTATTATATGTTTCTACTTGGGATTTGTAAAATATATTTTGACCAATACTGGCGTGGACGAGTTACGACGCTAGGTAACTTACTGTACCAACAAATGTAGGCTAAATAAACATAGGTTATCAATATGACACATACAATAAAACATTGCTAAAAAATAATAAAATATCAGCAAACAAACAAACAATAGAATCTACTTTTAATTATTACACATCCAAACAAATAAAACTTTGAACTTTAAAAAATAAATAAATAAAACATCATATAACTCATCGAATTAGTTACGTTGAGAAGAATTTCTTTGTACTTTTTCTTCATACAGTTTGTTACAACATGTTTGTTATAGGCATACCAGCTCTCTAAATTGGTACATTTTTTGAACATCAAATAGTCTTGAAAATGTATATCAGTTGTATTCACTATAATGATAAAATATGAAAATGAGCATATACAAATAATTCCCTCTATCCAAAGATAGAACAACATACATGCGTTTATATTTACCGTGTTCCTTGGGGTGAGAGACGCTTTATTTATCAATATTTATCACCATTTAACTTGACATTTTCGGACAGATGATCGGGATTATTTTTTGGCCAATTTTATTTTTATGATTATCTCTCTTGAAAATTTTACTTTTTCAATAGTCAAGCCCTTACCTGTTTTATTTTCTATCTCTTCTTGATGTATAACTAAATTTACTTTTTTCGGTAAATTCCATATTTTATGTTTTATTTCTCAATGCAAAGTGAAATATATATATATTTATTTATTTGCTCTGAATTACTTTGAGCAAATTCGTTGCACACCCTATCAATATGAGGTGTATCCATTTGATGGCCATTATTGTAGATTGCAATAAATGGTTATGCGGTAACTTTAATTTACTATAGAACTACGCAACAATCACATTACGATAAATAGTGACAAGTAATTACATTCTGTGATAAATAGCATGCGGTAACTACATACTACTATGTAAACAAGATTAGCGTAAGCAGCTTTTCCCTGTCCCAGCATTAGAAAACTACACAGTTGCTTAAAACATTAATAAAATTATCTGACCCCTCAATAAATCGGACTGGCTTTAGGAGCAATTTAAAGATATTTTTTATTTTTTGTTATATATCAACATGTATCTTATTATTTTTTTTATTTATGTTTTTTTTGTTGTTGTTGTGGTAATTACGTGGAGTATAATTTATTTATTTTGTTTTTAAAGAGAAATAAAGAAACTTTGGTTCTCAATTCAAATTTGTAATTTTTTTATTTCTATATAGATTATATTTTTATTCTATTTATATATATATATATATATATACGTAGATATTACACTTGTTGATTTTAACCATTTTAACTACATGACGACTAAGACCATTCAGAGACACATTTTAACGTTAATTATCAATATAAGGTTACAAAGATTTGATCTGGACACGGACTAACTAGTAGTTTTGTCAAAATGAGTATTGACGCAGTGGGTTAGTGGCACTGTAAAATGAATCATTAGTTTCAATTAGTCCTGGCACAGTTCTCAGAAGAATGGTAACAGTCTCTCTACTAAAAATACTAATCTATGACTATAATATTTTTAAAAAAGCAAACAAAAAAAACAACAACATAAATATTGACCACCTAAAACTGTTTCTACACGTAAAATGAGTAGACTAAGAAAAACAGAAGAATTGATTTTAATGTATCGATCCAGCCTCTGCTATAAAAAAAGAAAAAAACAAAAATAAAGAAAGTGACCCTCGCCCCTATGAAACTTGATTCTTCCACGGCCGACAACCAATGATAACATGTGCCACGAAGAGTGGTAATAAGCTCGTTAAAAGGCGACTTTACGAAGCAGAACCGTCGGCAGCCAGATCGATTTCCTACACACACACACACAACCACTCGGAATCTGTCATTTCGTGTTCGGGTCATTAGAGGACGGACACTGTTTTCTACAGTCATTTATTTCATTCTACAGGATAATAATGAGGGGGCCCGAAGTCATGATTGACATGGGATTAGTTCTGGTCCGACTCATGCCTGGACACTCATCTGTTTATTTTTTATTTTGCTGGCTTAGGGGATCTCAAATTGAGTAAAAGGGTGCTTGGGGGGGGGGGGGGTCGGTCCCCCACAAAAGTGAAATTCAATTTGGGGAGGTGCAGAGGTGGGGTGGGACGGGGCATGAAGTAAATCTTAGAGAACGTGAACATGACGAATAAGAACATTACAGGAAATCCAAACATTTTTTAAAAAAATTTAACAACTCGACGAATTAAAGACACATTAAGTTGCATATCTTAAAGTTTAATAAGCTTCTTATTCATAACTGTGTCACTCAACGTTTTTTTGTTTCTCATGGCGAGGTAAAGATGAGGGGGAGATGAACGTAATTTAAAAAAAAAATAATAATTTAATGGGATGGTGTATAATTTGAGAACCCATGTGATGGTCTTTTTTTCTTTTCTTTTTTTTGGGGGGAGAGGGGGGGGTGGAGTGACGGTCATTTCGTTTTCCTGCGAGGAGGTCAGTCTTTTCTTGTCCTGCGAGGAGGTTCATCTCTTCGTTGTCCTGTGAAGAGGTCAGTCTTTTCGTTGTCCTGCGAGGAGGTCAGTCTTCCCGTTGTCCTGCGAGAGGGTTAATCTTTCTGTTGTCCTGCGAGGAGGTCAGTCTTTTCGTTGTCCTGCGAGCAGATCAGTCTTTTCTTGTCCTGCGAGGAGGTTCATCTCTTCGTTGTCCTGTGAAGAGGTCAGTCTTTTCGTTGTCCTGCGAGGAGGTCAGTCTTCCCGTTGTCCTGCGAGAGGGTTAATCTTTCTGTTGTCCTGCGAGGAGGTCAGTCTTCAAACGCAAGAGACCTCCATGAGCTTATTATGGACAGTGTTGTAAATGACAAATTGTATGATTGAACATTATCAAGAAAGTTAAGGGAAACAGCCCCTTTTTAAAGTAGATACTAAAATAAATGTTAATTTTCATGATTACCGCCCTTACCCCACCATTTCTTTAACTGCATACGTCTGTTTCTTACACATCGTTTCAGTCTCTCAACTTTTAACTTCAGCTTAATCGTATGAACAACGAAAGGCTCTCACTGAAGAGACGAAATGTTGAATCAACACAACGAACATGTCTATATTTGACAACACAGTTCCTTGATGACACCGATCACGCCAATGACAAGCTATATTCTATGAACCCCATTTAAATTTCAAGATATCTAGGAAAATTCCCCCCCCACCCCCCCCTTTTCTCCCTTTTCCCCCCCAACTGTGCACAGCTAACCGATGAATCACGCGCCGTGTCGCTGTGTGTCCTTATGGATGTCACGCCTCAATGATCTGACAACACAGTTCCTTGATGACACCGATCACGCCAATGACAAGCTATATTCTATGAACCCCATTTAAATTTCAAGATATCTAGGAAAATTCCCCCCCACCCCCCCCTTTTCTCCCTTTTCCCCCCCAACTGTGCACAGCTAACCGATGAATCACGCGCCGTGTCGCTGTGTGTCCTTATGGATGTCACGCCTCAATGATCACATTCTTCCCACTTATTTGCTGACATGCCGTGTGATTTCCTCCAGCAAATCTCCCAAGCAAATAAGCAACACGTCCGTCCCCCCCCCGAAACAGTCTCCCCCCTCCCACCGGGCACTCTTTTTCCTTCCAACCACCATTAGAAGACGGCCTTGGACACCAGGCAAAAAGTCAGCTGCCCCACTTGATAGAGAAGAAATAAAAGATCGCCGTGCCTACGTTTTTCCGTCCACGAGACCGAGCTTTGAACTGTGCATCGAAACAACAATCGGGTGTTTACTGAGGGCTTACCCTCACTGGTGTCTCGTGGACCGTGTCGCCTCCTGTTGGCCTTATTAGATTCGACTTTCCTTTCATTCAGCTGACGCCCTCCGCAGCGCCTCGGCGTCTCTATGATATTCCTATTTCAAAATAATCCCTTCGATTCTTGTTTTCTAAACGTTCTTCTTTCATACCTTCCTTCTGCCACCTCATTCATGTCCTGGGCCAGGGGTTCCCACCCGTCGATTCTTGTTTTCCAATGTTCTTCTTTCATACCTTCCTTCTGCCACCTCATTCATGTCCTGGGCCAGGGGTTCCCACCCGTCGATTCTTGGTTTCCAATGTTCTTCTTTCATACCTTCCTTCTGCCACCTCATTCATGTCCTGGGCCAGGGGTTCCCACCCGTCGATTCTTGTTTTCCAATGTTCTTCTTTTATACCTTCCTTCTGCCACCTCATTCATGTCCTGGGCCAGGGGTTCCCACCCGTCGATTCTTGTTTTCCAATGTTCTTCTTTCATACCTTCCTTCTGCCACCTCATTCATGTCCTGGGCCACCCGTCGATTCTTGTTTTCCAATGTTCTTCTTTCATACCTTCCTTCTGACACCTCATTCATGTCCTGGGCCAGGAGTTCCCAGAATCTGTTGCTGCACCCCATATTTATAGGGTTAAAAAAAAGTATTGGCGCTCACCACATTAAATTTATTAATAGGGGTAAATATATTGGCAGGTGGAAAATATTAAATCATTCGCGCATCATTGGACTTGGCATACAAACCTTTAGCATACAAACCTTTAGCATACAAACTTTTTTCAGCCAGGACAGCTCATCCCCCACCCCAGCCCCATGTAGTTGGGAAAACAACAGAACGGACCAAGACTGTGGCATCTCTCTTTACTTTCATAAAGGTTTTCTTGGTCGGTTCAGTCTAAGATATATAACATGTTATATATATAATCTTCAAGTGATGTATTTTGATATATGTTGTTGTCCAGCATTTCTCGTTCTGCAGCCCAAAAAGTGGCCATTCAAATTTGACACACACAAACACACACACACGTTTTTGAAAAAAACCAAAAAAACAGTTAAATGTGTAACTGAATCAATGAAATTTTATTTCACTTAATTTTATGGCTTGTCAATTATGTGGATGTGGCTTGTCAATAATGTGGATGTGGCTTGTCAATAATGTGGATGTGGCTCGTCAATAATGTGGATGTGGCTCGTCAATAATGTGGATGTGGCTCGTCAATAATGTGGATGTGGCTTGTCAATAATGTGGATGTGGCTTGTCAATAATGTAGATGTTGCTGGTCAATAATGTGGATGTTGCTGGTCAATTATTTGTATGTGGCGTGTCAACAATGTGGATTTGGCTTGCCAATAAGTTGGATGTGACTTGTCAATAATGTAGATGTAGCTCGTCAACAATATGTATATTGCTCGTCAATATGTATATGTGGCTTGTGTTAATAACGTGGATGTGGCTTGTCAATAATGTGGACAATAATGAAAATATTGAAAAATGTGTACACACAAATGACTTACTATTGTAGGTGGCGTTAGTTGTTGCTTTTTTTATACTGAGCCCGCCACCCAACCCCTCCCCCTCCCCAAACCTTTCATACACACACAAATACCGCACACATACCACACTCGCGAACCACACACACACACTTCAGTAATTCTGGTTAAAAGATATTCACGTTGGTTTCAAAGATCACGACAGCGCCGCCCCCTTGACGTTGCACTCATTCTTCCCGTCATTACCACGCTATCCTTCAGCAGACTTGAGGTTAGTGCTACATCGACAGCAGCACCACCAAACGTCACCAGATAGATAAAAGCTAAAACTTCACCAAATACTACTGCAAGTATTCAACCTGGTGGAAAGTGGGGTGGGGCTACCAAAAAAAAAAAAAAAAAATGGGTTTGGGGTATTCATATACCCTCGGCATGGTCACAATGGACTAAACTAATTTCTGCGGAGCCGAAGTAGTAAAATGTCACTTGCTGTGATAAAAGCTAAAACTTCACCAAATACTACAGCAAGTATTCAACCTGGTGGAAAGTGGGGGGGGGCTAACAAAAAAAAAAAAAAAAAAAATGGGTTTGGGGTATTCATATACCCTCGGCATGGTCACAATGGACTAAACTAATTTCTGCGGAGCCGAAGTAGTAAAATGTCACTTGCTGTGAGGGGGCTTCTCAAAGAATGACAACACTGTGTGCTCGAGTGGCGTTGAGTTGAACTTTAAAAAAAAAAAATCTATTTTGAGTGTGTGTCTTCAAAGGCGTTGCCTCAATAAAGTTAGTTAATATGGCACATGAATAAATCGTATATGCTTGTGATATGCATGTTATTTGCATGTTATATGAATTTGATATGCTTTATCCGACTTGATTTAAACACCGAGA